AGGTTCCTCTGTTTCCTTTTAGTCGGATTGATGGAAACTCTCTATCTGGAAAGATACCGGATTTTATTGGAAATTGGACTCTGCTTAAAAGGCTGTGAGTAATCAACATTTTCTCGGATGATTTCTTCTTATGAAACAATTTGAAATTTTTGGTGGCTGAATTGTTAAATTGTATTGAAGAGATCTTCAAGGTACATCAATGGAAGGTCCAATTCCATCTTCTATATCAAACTTGAAGAACTTGACTGAGTTGTAAGTAAAGCAAAGAGTTTACCAAAATCCAGTTTTTTCGACTTGCTTTCTTGAGCTTAAAGAAAGTGTTATTATGTATGTTTAGGAGGATAACCGATTTGCGTGGACCGATCTCTTCTTTTCCAGACCTGCGAAATATGACAATGATCGGACAATTGTAAGTTTTTACATTTTGACTATAATAGACTCATGTTTCGTCAAACAATATATAATAATATGTATTGCTTATTAACTTCATTAGGGTACTAAGGAATTGTTTGATAAGGGGATCTATACCGGACTACATTGGTTCCTTGACTCAGATTAAGACACTGTAAAGTCTAAACTCTCTTTAATAAATCTACTGCTTAATGGCTAATAATTTGATCAAGGTTCTCACATTGTTATGTGCAGAGATTTAAGCTCAAACATGTTAAATGGTACAATTCCAAACAAATTTCGGGATCTCGTCGAGTTTAATTTTATGTAAGTCTTCAAATAATCAATAAAAATGATATGAACGCGTAACCTGAAAAAAAAGTTGACTCTTTTATTTGGCGGCTTTAGGTTTCTGAGTAATAACTCATTGACTGGTCCAGTTCCTGAGTTCATCCTTGAGAGTAAACAAAGCATGTAAGCAAACTAAACTAACTACCTCGAGGTTGAAATTATCGGTAAATACCTATCTGTGCTTATGTATTCTTTGATCTGTTTTTAGTGATTTATCTTACAACAATTTCACTAAGCCACCATCTTTAAGCTGTAATCAGCTCTCTGTGTAAGCATTATTTTTGTTCTTGTTACATATCGATGATCTTGTTTTTATGTTTCTTAGTAGCTTTATTGGTAAAAAACTTTCAGGAACTTGATCTCTAGCTACCCTTCAGTAACCGACAACTCGTGAGACTCCTTTTATTTCCCGCCTTTTTCGGTTCATAATAAAATACTTGCAATGAAACAAAAACTCTTACTTGTGTAGTGTTCAATGGTGCTTAAGAGAGGGTCTTCCATGTCCTGGAGATGCAGAACGTAAGTTTTACATCTTAAAGATTCAAATTTTACTATAAAGATCCAAACTTTATAACATTATTGATCCCGGATTTTATCGCAGACTCATCTCTGTTCATCAATAGTGGAGGAGAAAGAGCAAAGATTGGAAAAAACACTTATGCAGAAGACTTAAACAATCAAGGACCATCAACATTCTCTTCTGTATCTGAAAAATGGGGATACAGTAGCTCTGGCTTTTGGGTAGGAAAAGGAAATGCTGCCTACTTAGCTCAAGATCGGTTTAACTTGATGAATGAATCGGTTCCAGAGTATTACAAAACCGCTCGTCTAGCTCCACAATCACTAAAGTACTATGGATTGTGTATGAGAAGAGGAGGTTACAAAGTGCAGCTACATTTTGCAGAGATTATGTTCTCAAATGACAAGAGTTATAATAGTTTAGGACGACGAGTTTTCGARATTTATGTRCAAGGGAYTTTGTTGGTGAGGGACTTTAARATAGCAGAGGAAGCAGGTGGAGTTGGTAAACCATTCACWAGGCAAATTGATGATGTTCAAGTGAATGGAAGTACATTAGAGATTCATTTGCAATGGACAGGGAAAGGTACAAATTTGTTACCGACACGCGGTGTTTACGGTCCTCTCATATCCGCCATAACCATTACACCAAGTGAGTTTTCTTTTTGAATCTTTCTCAATTGTTATTTTGGAGTGAGTGAATGAATGTTTCTTTCTATGTTTTTGTAGATTTCAAGGTTGATACCGGAAAACCATTGTCGAATGGAGCTGTCGCGGGGATTGTAGTTGCAGCGTGCGCGGTTTTTGCGTTGCTTGTTGTTATAATCCTTAGGCTTATTGGCTACTTAGGTGGTAAAGAAGATGATGAAAATGGTAAAAGAAAACATTATATTATTTGTTCAAGAAACTCTCTTAAGTCATTTTCAAGATCTCTGATTGTTTCTTTTATCAGAGGAGCTTCGGGGAATGGATTTGCAGACAGGATCATTTACATTGAAACAAATCAAGCGTGCCACTAATAACTTTGATCCAGAGAACAAGATTGGTGAAGGAGGATTTGGACCGGTTTATAAGGTGATGATTGCTTTAGTTTTTTCAGTCTTTTCACAAGTTTTGCTAAATTGGATTATAAGTATTGATGGCTTTGGTTATTAGGGTGTACTCGCTGATGGAATGACAATCGCGGTGAAGCAGCTTTCATCGAAATCAAAGCAAGGGAACAAAGAGTTTGTGACTGAGATCGGGATGATATCTGCGTTGCAACACCCGAATCTTGTGAAGCTTTATGGTTGTTGCATTGAAGGGAAAGAGCTTTTGCTTGTGTATGAGTACTTAGAAAACAACAGTCTCGCTCGTGCACTCTTTGGTTCAGAGAAACAGAGACTTCACTTGGATTGGCCAACAAGGAACAAGATATGCATAGGGATTGCAAAAGGATTAGCTTATCTACACGAAGAATCGAGGCTTAAGATTGTTCACAGAGACATAAAAGCGACGAATGTGCTTCTTGATCAGTCTTTAAATGCTAAGATCTCTGATTTTGGTCTAGCTAAACTCGACGAAGAAGAGAATACACATATCAGTACAAGGATTGCAGGAACAATGTGAGTGTAAATTACTTATAAAAGACTTTACCTTTTCTCGAATTCATCGGTAAGTGTTAACATTTACTGACATTTTATTGATGCAGAGGCTACATGGCTCCTGAGTATGCAATGAGAGGTTACTTAACAGACAAAGCGGATGTTTACAGCTTCGGTGTTGTCTGTTTAGAGATTGTTAGCGGTAAAAGCAACACGAATTACAGACCGAAAGAAGAGTTTGTTTACCTTCTTGATTGGGCTTATGTCTTGCAAGAACAAGGGAATCTACTAGAACTGGTGGATATGGATCTCGGTACAAGCTTTTCGAAGAAAGAAGCAAAGAGAATGTTGAACATTGCTTTACTCTGCACAAACCCATCTCCTACATTGAGACCACCAATGTCATCTGTTGTAAGTATGTTAGAAGGTAAAAGCAAAGTCCAACCACCATTGGTGAAACGTGAAGCTGATCCAAATGGTGCAGCTGCA